AGGTCAGTGGGGAAGAGAAAGCACTACCTAGAGGGCTGCCTGAGGGGTGGGTGACGATTCAGGATGGCGTCTACACTGCTCACCCTGTGAGGACTTTTGAACCACCCAGGGGTGTCCAACCTTCTGAGAAGGAACCCCAACCAAGGGACAGGCAGACTGTCCTCTCAGCCCAAGCTCCCAGCCCACTCCAGGGAGGCCCAGGTCAGAGTCCTGGGCCAGGGCAGAAGGAGCCTGGAAGCCACACACAGAGAACCTGGGAATCTCCTGGGAATCTCCAATTCTGCTCAGGGGGCCTCCAAGCTGAAAAGACCACCCTAAAGACTGCCCCTTTAGCCCACAACACTCTGCCCTCTGGGGTTCATGCTGCAGGTGCCAACCGGCACTCCCATAATGCCTCTGTTCCTCCTCCTCCTACTCTCCCAGCTGCTGTGACGGGACCTGACTTCTCAGCCCAAGCCCGCCATGATGAAGACTCCACCCAACAGACCTCCAAGCCCTTGCAGGACTCCCTTCACATCCACAGCAGCCCTGCTGGCCAGAAAACCTCTGGGGGGTCACAGACAAAGGCCCCCAAATTGGAGCCTGCCATTACTCCAAGGAAGAAACCCCCAGTGCCCCCCAAACCTGCACACCTAGCCCAGACCCACCCTCCTCAGAGGCTGCCCAAGCCTTCAGCTCTCTCTCCCAACTTCTCCTTGCAGACGGGACAACAAAAATACAAACCAGGTGAGACAGAAGCAGCCATTCCTCAGCAGGCCAAAATTCCCACCACCTCAGGCCAGGGCTGCATGCCTCTGGTTGTATGCTCCAGTGGACAGAGCCATCCTGACCCCCAACACAGCCTCAGCACTGTGGCCTCCAGACCCACCAAGGATCATGCTGCTGGCAGCAATGTCCAGAGCCCTGAGCCCCATAAGTTCAATGCTCTCAATAATGACTGCACCTCACCACAGCAGGACTCCAGTCCCCCAAGAGAGCAGCCCATGGAATGTTCCAAGCAAGGAGCCCCTGAGAACCCTCAGATTCTGCAGGGAAGCCAGCAAGAGCTCCAGGGCCTCCTGAGCCAGGTGCAAGCTCTGGAGAAGGAAGCAGCAAGCAGCGTGGATGTGCGTGCCCTGAAGAGGCTCTTTGAGACTATGCCCCAGCTTAGAGAGGCTGCCTCTCAGGTCCCTGATGCTCCCTGCAAACCAGAGGTCTCGGTGGAGCAGGCCTTTGGGGAACTGACACGGGTCAGCACAGAGGTTGCTCGCCTGAAGGAACAGACCCTGGCCAGGCTGCTGGACATTGAAGAAGCTGTACACAAGGCCCTCAGCTCTATGTCTAGCCTGCAGCCAGAGGTGAACACCAGGAACCATTCCCAAGGACCCCACAAAGATCCCAGTACCCAAAAGGTCAGTGTCTTAGCCAGTAGTAGAGCCAGGCCCAGTGACTTAGACCAGGAGGTCAAAGATCCAATTGAAGTCAAGAGCCAAGCCAAGGTTGAATGCCATACTGAGGACCAGGGTCAAGCCAATATCACAAATCACACAGAGGCCAGAGGTCAGGTTGCTTCAGCTGCTTCTCCTACCAGGAGGCTGGAGACATTGAGAGAAGATTCAGGCCTCCCTCGAGTCTTACCTTTCAGCAGAGATTCACCCTCCTCCCCAACCTTCATCTCCATCCAGTCAGCCACACGGAAGCTTCCAGAGGCTTCCAGCCCTAAAGGCAGCCATGACGTCTCAGGGAAAAGCATACACTTGGCTCAGGACATAGGACAGACCCAACTTCACCAGGAAAGTGCCCAGGACCTGGCTAGGAAAAAGGAAGTGGTCACACAGTGCTCTGAGCAGCCCAAGCCTACGCCCACCTCAGAGCGCCCCCTGCCCACAGAGCGGCAAAAGAGTGTCCTGGAGTTGCAGACTGTGCCAGGCGGTTCCCAGTGCTATGGAGCCACAAGAACCGTGACGGAACAGTATGAGGAGGTAGACCAGTTTGGGAACACAGTCCTTGCATCCTCCACTGTAGTCACTGAGCAGGCAGAACCGCTCAGCTGTCCCCACCTGGGGGTCCATGCCTCCCCCTTGCTGAGGCAGTTCCTGCACAGCCCAGCTGGGTTCAACAGTGGCCTAGAAGAAGCTGAGATGGCGTGGATGCCCTACGGCCACTCCTAGCCAGCTGCTCACTGAGCACCTTCACCTCCCACCCATCACTTGGGTGCCTTCTTCCAGGGCCCCAGGAGTAAGATGGGTCCCTCCCTCCTGCACACATAGGGAGAGGACCAAGAAGAAAGGGCATCTCTAAGGATTGTTGAGGACTATTTCTCTTTTGTCAGTTCCATCAGTATGCTCAATTCTTGCAAATAAAGGGGAAGAAAGGTTAAAAAGAGGCCCACTAAGTAACAGAGCCACGGGGTGAAGACCGCCAGCCCCACTTGTAGAAGATGTAGCATGTACACATGCTGCTCACACAGACCCGGCCCAAGCTTTGACCTGTGGTCATCTGCACGTCATTGTCTACAGAGTTGGAACCCCCAGCCTTTATTTCTTTTATTAGGATTCTGAATGTTCTTAGCCTTCTGCTCCTTAATCCCTGGAGAAAACCTAACTGGTCACAGCACTGGTCTCTGTTAGGAATTGGTCTGAGAGACCCAAAAGCACCTGGCCTCCAGTCCCTCCTTCACCACCTTCATCATTCATCTGGTCATCCTCGTGACCCAAAGGTCACGTGAAAAGAGTTCGAAATCAACAGGGCCCTTAGGAGCCAAATGCACTGTCTTTCTCTGCCCCCTCCTGCCCACTGCCCCTCTTCATCCCAAATGGGAAAGATTCTGTCTGAATAAACCAAAGCTTGATTCTCTACTCAGTGTGTGTCTGTTTGTGTGCATCTGTTCAAGACTCTGTGTTCACACTAAGGGAAAAACAGCCCCAACCTCCAGATGTCCAGTTTTTCTAGTAGCAGCTGCATTGAAGGCTCTACCCTATCCCTTGTTCTTGCCCCCAACACACACATTTGCCCTCTCTACCTCTGGCTTCCCCTCCTAGATGTTCTTGGACATCATTGGGGCACAGGGGAGGGGGTCCTACAATCCTGCTCCAAAATGGGAGAGCAGCCCTGTCACCCCACCAGGTACAGGAAGGTAGGAAGACCTCACATCAGGAGAATTCCCATGCCCAAGTTGGCTGGGCCACTGCCCATTCATGCCAGGTACAGTGTGCCAAGCAGTGAGGAAAGGGGTGTTCAGATTCTGACCTGGAAAACTGGAATGATTTGGTGAAGGCCACTTTTCACTCTGTCCTTCAAAAAGCACTGAGCATCTTCCATATGCCAGGTCTGTTGTAGGTAGTAGGAACACAGAAGCAAGGTCCAATAGGGTCCTCCTCTCAGGAAACCAACTTTTGAGAATGAGGAGATGGACAGACAAGAAAAATCAGACCAGAAACAGAGTGATGTGCCTGACTGTGCTGCCTTCCCACTCTGGGGAAACAATCTTAATACATGGTGATGTGATGATGACCAGGAATTTCCTTAGAGCGAGTGGCCCATGCAGACCCTCCTAAGGAAAAACATCTCATTTCAGATCTGAATACAAAGAGCCAGCTAGTGAAAACCAGAGGGGAAAGCACACTAGACACAGAGAAAAGAGCTTGCAAAGACCCAGAGGTGGGATAAGGTGGGTTTTCTGGATCCTCTTCCATAGAAAGGGGTGTTAACAACTAGAGTTGCTCCTCACAAGCTTGAGCAAGAATTTGCACATACTGTGCTTCAGCTGAATATGCAGGTTCCCACCTTACCTCCAGTCCAGGGCTCAGCCCTCCATACCTGTTACTGGTCCCTCAGTGCCTGCTCAGCTACTATGGGTGGGCTTCCCTGGAGCAAGAGAACTCCAATCTGGAAGGAACCCATCCCCTGTGAGAGACTGATGTATAAGGAACAATCAATATCAAATCTACCTACCTGGACCTGGTATCCCCATATTGCTGAGTCCCTTACCACATCTCTCTCCCCTGCGTTTCATAGGATCTGATTACAGAATCCAGCAGCTGAAAGAATGAGTGTTCTCCTCAGTGTTCTCATGTGTATAATAGGTGCAATACCATAGTACCTACCACGCTGAGGATTAAGAGAATTAATAGGTGTAAAGTACATGAAGATATACCTGACGTCTGGACAAAGACATTCATTTTTAGTATTGTAGTAATTATTATTTAATAATCTCCTTTCTCACCTCCAGGGGGGTCCCTTGCCTTGTTCATCTTAGTATCTCTAATGTTTATCACAAGTTCCTAGAAGGCACTCCATACATGTCAAATAAATGAATGCATAAGTGAATGAAATGATCGAGTACGTCTGCAGATTCGTCCCACTAACATTTATTAGCATTTCATGCCAGATTCTGCTCAGTGCTAAAAATAGTGGAGAACAAGACAGAATTTATCCTTGACCTCATGGAACTTTGGTTTAAAGAGAGAAGACAACATATAAACAGATTAGATAGATTTGCAAGGGAGAAATACTGTGAATAAAAAAAATAAATAAACAAGATCAGCCCACAGGGCAACGGATGGTAGTTATTTTAACGTGGGTGTTCTGGAAGGCATCTTTTCAGAGGTCATCTGAATGACAGAGGAGTCCGCCTGATTCGCAGGATGTGGCGGTCAGGCAGGAAGAGAGGTAGGTGGTGGATGATGAATGCACCGGCGGCAGCAGCCGAGCAGCAGCCGCTCAGCGGGGCCTCGCCCAGGGCCCAGCACACCTGCCTCCACACCTGCCGCCCAGGCTGAGGCTCCGCCTCTCTCCCGCCCGGGAAGGGGCGGGTCGGAAGGCGGAGTACGCCGTGTCCAGACCCGCCCCCGGAGCCCGTGAGGCTTGTTCCCACCGGCCGTCGCCATGGTGACGGTGACGTCACGCGGCCCGCAGAGTTCGGAACGTTCCGGCGGCGGCGGCGGCGGCGGTTGCCAGGAAACGCCCGGCAGGCGCACCGCCAGGGTCTGGCTCCGCGCGCAGACGCCGGACGCCAGGACGCGCCGTCCCGGCCGGCCCGTGCTCCGAGCCTCCCTCCTGGATTCCAGAAGGATGCCGGGTTCCGCTCCTCACCCACGCCTCGGCCCCGCCCAGGACCGACCTGCTGGGCAGGGCTCCGCCTCCCTCCTTGGTACAGTGTCCTGGCCTCTGTCGGGAATTTGTCCAGCAGCCCCATCGTCATCGCCATCACCCTGCTTCAGGTCACCATCCACCTTTCCCTTTCCTGGGCGGGCAGAGGGGCAGGCACTGCTTTCGCCTTCCGAGTGGTCCTCTTTCCTTTGCCGGTCTGTCCTTACAGTTTGTCCACTAACAAGCAGCCAGAATTCTTATTTCAGATCAGGTCACTCCTGCATAATAACCTTCAACGGCTTCCCAGTTCACTTAGTCTGGAATCTAAACTCTCAGTGGCCTGTGAAGCCAGAATGGCTTACCTCTCCAACTTGGGTACCTGTGCTCTCCTCCTCACCTGTCTCCTCCTAGTCACACTGACTTTCTTAAGCTTCACAGAACACACAAGATAATTTCTGCCTCAGGGACTTTGCACTTGCTTTATCCTCCTCCTGGAGGTCTCTGCTAGATCTTTTTTTTTTTTTTTAACCTTTATTTTACTTATTTATTTTTATGTGGTGCTGAGGATCGAACCCAGCGCCTTGCTAGGCAAGTGCTGTACCGCTGAGCCACAACCCCAGCCCCCCTCTTCTAAATCTTTAGTGGCTGAGCTTCTCACTCAGATCTCAATTCAAATGTCTCTCCAGAAAGTCCTTTCCTGATCCATCCTTCTCTCTTCCTCTTATCTGGAGAGGGCTTCCTCATAAGTTTCCATGCTATTTCACGTTTTCCCTAGGACCCATCCCAACAGGAAATTATCTTGCTCAGTTTTCTTTTTTATAGTTAATGTTGTAGATAACTTTCTGCATAGCAAAACATCCCAAGCTTAGTGGTTTATAGAGCTGATACTTATGAATCTGATTACCCAGGAATTTGGACTGAACATGATGGGGATGCCTTATCTCTGTGCTGTAATGTCTGGGACTTCAGCTAGACACATACACCTGTCTATATGACCTGGGCTTCCTTACAGGGTGCAGTCTCCAGGTACTTGGACTTCCAGAGACATGTCTTAACAAGACAGAGACCTCATCACCTTTTGTTACCTAGCCTCAGAAGGCATGAAGAATCACATCTGCTGCACTGCTGGTTTACAAGTAAGACCCAAGACTTCCCAGATTGAAAGAAAGGGGCATTAGATACCAGCTTTTGCTGGGAATGAGGCAAAACCTAGAACATGCAGCTAGCTGTCTTTGTAAAATATCATCTCCACAATCTTCCCCCACTGGAATATCATCTCCATGAAGCACCATCATATTCCCTTTGCCTAAAATGCTGCCAAAGCACATTGTGAGTATTTAATTTTAGAGTGAATAAAGGTTTGTCTTTCAAGGAAGCATTTGAACCCAGCTCTTCTCCCTGTGTTTCCTGCACCAGCCTTTAACTTTGGCCTAGTCCGCTCTGGAGGAAGCCTGGCATTTGTATTATAAGGTAGGAGTCAAGTATAGGGGTTTTGTGGGGGAGATATAGGTCTACAGTTATTGGGGATTGAGAAATATGTGGCCAAATGAGACTTGGAGGTGGTTTTCTACTCAAAGGGATGTTGAAAACCCAGTCCGCTTTTTCCCATTCTGAACTCTGGAAATGCCCAAATGAGGCAGTTTGTCCTCTAGGCTGTGAGAGCAGGAAAGTGAGTGGCCCAAGGTAATGGAGCTTTGGGGAGGTGCACCAGGCAGTAGGGAGGGGCGAGATGCCTATTAGAAGCAACTGCAGTGACCTAGGCAAAAGGCAGCCTGAAGCTGCCCATAAGCCTAAGATTCTCAAATTCTCCCTGCTTTGTTTCTTATGAAGGGTGTTCCATTGGATCATCTCAAAGTCCTTGAGCACTTAATAGTTTCTCCTCCCCTCTTCCTTTTTTCCCTGAGGGGCAGCAGCATCTGCCATTCACCCCAAGCCAGAGAAGACAGCCCAAAGCTTCTCCAGGCCCAGCCCTCTCATATCAGTAGGGGGGCGGCCGGCTGGGGTTGTATCTCAGCGGTACCTAGCACGTGGGAGGCCCTGGGTTTGATCCTCAGCACCACGTAAAAATTAAATAAATAAATAAAATAAAGGAATTGTGTCCAATTACAACTAAAAAATAAAATATATATTTTTTAAATGGGCTCACTGGTTCTTTGGGTTTTCCAAATATCTCTTCCCCTACCCCTCCTTCAATCTTCACTGTTGTTGTGTGTGTTCCTATATTTCAGCAATAGCCTGCAACCTCCAGTGCCACCCCAAACTGTCACTTCTCCAATCCAGCCCTGCAGTGGCTCACCACCTCCATCTTAATCTCCATAATCGTTAGGCCATTTAAGGCCCTTCCTGTAGGCAGCTGCTCTCTGTTTATTACCTCCCCTAAATCACCCCTCCTTGGGCCTTTAATGTTCTATCCACCCTGATTTTGCCCAGGGCCAACTTATCCATTAAGTACATTGGTCATAGTGACTAGGGTCCATCATACTTTTAGGGAACCATGAAAATGTGTTTTGTTTTCTTTTTGTTTTGGGTACTGGTGATTGAACCCAAGGGAGCTTAACCACTGAACCACATTCCTAACCCATCCCCGCTTAATGTTTTAATTTTGAGACAGGGTCTCCCTAAATTGCTTAGAGCCTTGCTAAACTGCAGAGGGTGGCTCGAATTTGCAATCCTCCTGCCTCAGCCTCCCAAATCCCTGGGATTACCGGCGTTTGCTCATTTCAAGAATGGCTTTGAAAATGTTTTAACTTCTTTTAAAATCAGTAGGAGGAGAAAGGAACTTTTAGATAAAAGAAAATGTTTACCATATAACATTACTCTATTAAAGCTTATACCACCACAGTCGTAAAATATACTTTTTTTTTTTTAATGGAAAAGAAGTCCATGAAGGCAAAGTGCCTAGGACCCACAGAGTCCTAACAGGACCTTGTTTTTGCTTAGGCTGGACCCCACCCTCCCCCAATTTTCCACCTGTCACTTCTGGAAAGCTAGGTTCCAAAGACAGCGCTGAGGTAAAGCCATTGGGAATGTCCCAGTGGCTTTGGTCCCTGTCCCTTCCTCTTCAATGCCCCGTCGCACCCCAACCTTATGAGTCTTGTAGTTTGTAAAAGCTTTGGCAATTTTTTTGGTTTTGTGCATCTCTCTCCCCTTCCCCCATTACTGTTGCTCCCGCCAAGTCCATAGCCGTTTTAGCTCGGGTCTTGGTACCCTCTCCCCCGAGGGCAGGAGCTGCCCAGTTAGTTGCCCAGCTAACTTCGGAAGCAAACTGGCAGAGACTGGGCCTGGGGACCCTCAGGATCCGCCGCCCAGGTGGGAAGCCAGAGTGGCGGGGGCAGGCGGCCACCCGAGTCCCCCGGGGAGGGGCGCACGGTTCAGGGCTGAGGGTGACGGGGCGGGTCGTCGGGCCTGGCAGGCTGCCCCTCGGCCACTGGCCCCTGCAGGCGCCTCCTGGCCGCAGCACCCGAAGGAAGCCCGCCCCTTGCGGTTCTCTCCTTATTTCCCCCAAGGCTCCGCCCCGCCCCACCCACCTCCCCTGTGAGATTTCTTACGAAAAAGTGCAACTGAGAATTCCCAGAAGGTCCCGGATGTGAAGTCACTGGCGTGAGGTCACCGAGCTTGGTTCCAGGAATCACAAGCTTGTGGGGGAGGAAAGAATGCACGGAAAACGAGGGAAAGCAAGTGAAGTCGTGGGTGCTGGCGAGCGAGGGAGGGGGTGAATGACGGCTAGCTCAGCTGCGTCCCAGGCTCCTCTCCAACCAGGCCTTGGCGGGCCTGACCTCAGAAAAGATTTCCTTGGAAAGGATGCCGCCCTCTCCCGTGTTAGAGGAATGCCGATGGAACCCAGAGATACCGATCCCTATTAACCAAGATCAAAGAGTATGATGCTGAAGCAGATGGGGCAATAGGAGTATTTTTTTCGCTGTTGACAAGAAGGGAGAACTGCCTGCGTCTGCCTGTTTGGAAAACAATTTGCAAATATGATCAGAATTTTAAATGAACATGCCCTTTGACCTCACAACTTCACATCTCAAGAGTTAGCCCATGGACACAAATATGAGGATAAGCCGGGTGTGGTTATGTACTCTTGTAATCCCAGCTCCTCAGGATAGACAGAGGCAGGAGGATCACAAATTGCAGGGCAGCCTGGAAAACTTTGTGAGACCCTGCCTCAAAGAAAAAAAATTTAAAAGGCCGTGGGCGTTGCTCGGTGATAGTGCACTTATCTACTATGAAAAAGAGCAAGGCCGTGGGTTCTATCCCCAGTACACAGGGGAAAAAAAGAAGATAAATGCATACAGTGGTTTTTAGAGGCGTTGTTTGAAATGCCAAAGATTGACTATCTGTAGGAAACTGTTTTAAAAAATGACATGGGAGACCAGGCACCGTGGCACACACCTGTAATCCCAATGGCTTGGGAGGCTGAGACAGGAGGATCACAAATTCAGAGCCAGCCTCAGCAAGGGCGAGGCACCACACAACCCAGTGAGACCCTGCCTCTAAATAAAATACAAAATAGGGCTGGGGATGTGACTCAGTAGTCAAGTGCCTCTGAGTTCAATCCCTGGTACAAAAAAAAAAGAAAGACATGGTACATCCAGACTTTGGAATACTATGTGTTATGAAAAGTTAAGTTATTCATGAGCCAAATGCCCAAGATACATAGTGGGGAACAAAACCCAGGAGCCCCCCTCCCAATTCCTGTGCTCTTCATTATGGTCAATTTTTAAAGATGTATATGTGTTCAACCCCAATATATATTGACCTATTACAAAATGCACATTGCAGACACTGGAGATACAGCAGTGAAGAAAACAGGCCCTGAAAAAGAAAGGGTATGGGCTCATGGGGAGTGCACCAAGGTGGTAAATTCTTATGGAGAAAGGAGGCCTCTCCAAGTTGACAGAACAAGGTTAGAAGACTTCATAAACCTGCCAGGCAGACAGCATAGTGAATGCAAGACAGATTTTTACTTGGCATGTGGAGAGCAGAGAACCAGAGTAGCTGAAGCCAAGGAGTAATGAGCAGAGTGGTAAAAGGAAGTGTGGGAAGGTTGGAGGGGCATGGGAGGTTGGGGGCAGGTATACCCCTGTAGGGGCTTTTGTAGATGGGAAGACTTTGAAGGATGTTGAGCAAAGAAGTGACATGATCTGACAGGTTGCAAAAGATCCCTCTGGCTACTGAGTGGAGACACACTCCAAGGGAAGAAGAGGGGGGGCCAGGGAGCAGGCTACTGCAGTAATCCCTCAGAGAGATCATGGTGACTGAACCAAAGTGGGAGGAGACATCAAGCAGTGTTCTGCTCCTGGATGCATTTTGATAAGGGAGCTGGTAGAATTTGCTAAGTGACCAGATGTAGGTGTGAAAGAAGTCTAGTGACTATGTAACTGTAAACATGGAGTTAGCTTTTATCAGGATAGGGGAGAATGTGCAAGATTTTTATTGACTGGGAGCTGCTTATGTGGGTCAGGAGTTTCTGGGTGATAGAAATATGAGCTGTTTGGAAATTATAGCAGAGAGGGTCCCAGAAAGAAACAGCTAGCATGCTTAAATTGAGAAATTTGAAGAGAGTTTAATAAAAGGAGAGTTTTTGTTTGTTTGTTTTTGGTACCAGGGATTGAATTCAGGGGGCACTCAACTGCTGAGTCACATCCCCAGGCCATTTTATATTTTTTATTTAGAGACTGGGTCTCACTGAATTGCTTAGTGCCTCGCTTTTGCTGAGGTGGGCTTTGAACTTGTGATCCTCCTGCCTCAGCCTCCCCAGCAGCTGGGATTACAAGCATGCACCACAGCACCCGGCATAATAGAAGGAGTCTTTAATCGTTACAAAGCATAGTAGAGTATAGAGGAGCAATTTGGAAGGCTGAGGCAAGAGTTCAAAGCCAGCCCAGGCAACTTTTCTCAAAATTTAAAAAAAAAAAAAAAAAATAGAGCTGATGATGTAGCTCAGTAGTAGAGTATCCCTGGGTTCAATCCCCAGTACTGAAAACACAAACAAAATGAGAAGCTATGAGGACACTCTGAGATCCCAGGGCTACTAAGATGTGGGACTTAGACATCCATATTTCTGAAGAAGGGAGAAGAGGATGTTGCTGGAAACTTGAGGACAGAAAAAAAGTTAAGTGGAGAGGACAACATTCAAACTTGTGTGACCTCATCCAGGGAAGGGGATTATTAGTTTCTTTGATATATACATTTGGATGTGGCCCACTAATAGGAGCTGAGGCCTTTGGTGGAAGCCAGGTGGCTTAGGTAGAGGAATACAGCCAGTCCACCGCAATCCCACAGGCAGAACATATATCCTGACCTCAGTCTCCTCCAAAGCCCAGGGAAGCCAAAGGCCAAGGAAGCCCATTGATGCAGCCAGTACACGTC